TGTGGAGGAAGACAAGCAGTTTGCTCTGGAGTAATGGGAAGGTAGTGGGGACTGATGGTGGTGGTGGAGGAGAATTGAGATAGGGTGGGTGGAGAAGAATTTACTAGTGGGATGATACTTCCCCCTTAATGGAGTACACTTAATATATTTTTTTATCTTACCTAGCTAAATAATGTAAACTGTACTTTTGCAGATCCTTTAAAAGTAGGGTTGACAGATTCAGTGAATAAAAGTACAAAACACCCAGAACCATTTGAATTTCAGATAAACAATGAATAACTTTTTAGTTTACATATGTCCCACGCATTATTTGGGACATGCTTATACTAAACAAATTACCCACTGTTTATTTGAAATTCAAATGCAGCTGAGTATTCTGTGTTTTATTTGGCAACCCTATTTAAAATACATAATGATTGGAATTTTAAATGTCTTCAAAATATTAGATTACATTGGTATATCATAATCGAGTACTTAGCCATTCCCTCTTTGTTGGAAATATATATTTCTAACTTTTATTCAAAGCCGCTGCATTTTACATTATTTCCTGAGAGAGATGCCTAGAAATGAAATTATTAGGCCTTTGGGCAAAAACAAGCTTTTCAGTCCTTGAGAGCAATTGCCAAATAATACTTGTTTTCATCTTTCCTTTGCCAACATTATAATTACTTTTTTACAATCTTAGCCAATTTAGAAGGTGAACAATAGCACACTTAATTTACACTAAATAAAATACATTTAATGTAATATTTTTATGTTAAGATATACTGTTTCATAATTTACATTTTCAAAACAATCAGTTAATTTCTAGTGGTTAATTAGCCACTCTGGCCTGTGCTTTTTCTCCAGTCTACAACTTTGCATTTAACAGACTCCACATCACTCTTCAAAGCCTCTTCATGTTTCACTTATTTCTTCCCTAAATGCAGTTTTGGCCTCTACCAATCTCTACAGCATAACCAGAATTACATTTATCGTGTGAATCGGATCATATTTCTCTATGCTTTAAATGCTACATTGACCTACCCTCTCTCACTCCATTATCAGTGGAATTACATTTAAGTGCCTTTGAGACATGTAAGATTTTCAGTATTTCATCTAGTTTTCCAGCTCACTTCCTACCAAACACATATCAGGTTTCAGTCACATGGACTAACTTACAGTTCCCCAAGAGCACCAAGCCACATGACATATCCAGGTCTCCTGCAAATGCTTCTCCCTCTGCCCGCAATGCCCTGCTATCTCAAGTCTGTCCTTTAGGGCTTGAATGGATCATTGCCTTGTCTTTGATCCCTCTCCTGCTCTCCTTGGATATAGCTGACCTCACTCGTCTACCTTGCTTGCTCTCTTTCTCTTACCACACACAAGATTCCAGAGGGCAAAGACTGCACCATATTGAGTTGGTTTCATGGCTTAGTAAAATGCCTGGAACATGGTAGATGACTAGTTTACAATAACAACAGGATTAATAAATCTAACATTTTTAGAGCACTTAAAAATTGTAAGGCTCTCTACAAAGCCCCCTTTATCTGTATTAACTCATTTTTTTAAATCTAAATTCAATGAATTAGTTAATATTATCTCTGCTCACTTTACAGGTCATGAAACTGAGTCCTATTCTAAACAACTTGTTTAAGAATATGGCTTATAAGTGGAAGAGCCAAAATCTCAATGAGTTTTGAGCTAAAATGTCCACTGTATAAGTGGATCAGGGACAGAAAAAAAAGTCTGGTCTCTGTCACGAAGGAGCTTTCAGTGAAGAACGGGAAAGAGACACACAGATGGTGATATTGCTGGTGGTCCAAGGAAATATATGTTTGTTGTGGGGGAAAAAAAGAGTATGGACTCAGAATTTTGAATTATGCCTCTTGGTGTTTACTCAAGATATGCACACAGAAAGAAATGAGGGAATACGACTACTGACAAAAGCCAATTCTTCACTTGTCAGTCATAGAGCATCTCTTTTGTGTATGAGTATACTCAAGGTCCCCTCAGCCCAGAAAGTGCCACAGAAAGACTAAGGAAGACTAAACCAAATATCTTTTTGGGCAGTCAGGAAGATGCTTCAGAGAGGACGCGGGATTTAAGGGGTACTGAGGGTACCAAAGATTCAGATAAGAGTAAAATGGAGGGAGTTCTGGGGACAAGGAGTGAGGTTAGACCTCAAGCATATTTAGGGACTTGCAATTAAGCTGTTTAAATGAACTGAAAGTCACTGAGTAGAGGACTGGATGGCAAGTCCTGGGAAAAAGGGAATGTTTGAGTGAGAAAGGGCCTTAAAAATCATTTAGTTCAACATTTCCTAAAAAGGGCTATGGGAAACCTGGTTTTATGGGGATGTTAAAAGACATTTCAAGAAATGCATTTCTTATATAGTAAGTTGACTGGTTTGAATAAAACCCCATAGAGTTTTGCATGTCAGCACTTCTCAGGGACTTTAATATGCTAAATCCCCTGAGACACCACAGGATAGGGATAGAGCATTCTTAGGTTTAAGAACTCAGAGCCCAGAGTCAGACATACCAGTGTTCAAATCCCAGCTCTGATAATTCCCAGATATGTAACCTTGGAAATAGTCTGTACCTTTCTAGGCTTTGATTGGTTTTCTCATCTATTAATCAATTATGTAGAGTTGCGAGGATTAAATAATATAAAGCATATAATGCTCTTAGTATCTGGCACAAAGGAAGTCCTTAAGAAATGTTAGCTATTTTATGATCATATTATTCAGCATTTTCTAACCTAGTTGATTAGGAAGCCCTTTTTTATTGTGAAGCATCTATCAGGACAAAATTTTTAGACTATCACTGGGAAGCATTGCTCTAGTTCAATGTTTCCCATGAGAAATTTGGGGACCACTTTTGAAGAGCCTTGAATATCAGGACAAGGAGTTTAGACTTTATCCTATAAAAAATGGAAAGTGTCCAACTGACCAGGGGAATGATGTGTTGAAGGTGTGTTTTAGGAAAGTGCGTAGAATGGATGAGGTGGGAGAAGATGGAATATGGGCAACCCACTGGCAGGTGAATGCAATTTCTCTTTAAGTGGAGATAAGAGACAGAATTGGGTGGTAGAAACTCGTGATGAGGCTGGATGTGATAGATGCTATAGAGCCGCAGATGGAGAGAACTTGGCGATTGATTATCCATGACTTTTTTGGCTTCCATACTTTGGAAACCACAACAGAAATGTTGGTTCATGATTACATTGTAAAAGCCTGTTATCTCAAAGTTTCAAACAGAATTTCCAAAACTACTGTGTATTAAGAAGCAGTCGAGGGGCTGGCCCCGTGGCCGAGTGGTTAAGTTCGCGCGCTCGGCTGCAGACGGCCCAGTGTTTCGTCGGTTCGAATCCTGGGCGCGGACATGGCACTGCTCGTCAGACCACGCTGAGGCAGCGTCCCACATGCCACAACTAGAGGAACCCACAACGAAGAATACACAACTATGTACCAGGGGGCTTTGGGGAGAAAAAGGAAAAAAATAAAATCTTAAAAAAAAAAAAAAGAAGCAGTCGAGATATTGATTTTGGTATTCTTCTTATCAGAGTTCATATATAATTGTTCCAGTTTTTAAAAGAAAAGTGTGTGTGTGTGTGTAAACATAGTTTCTTTTGTCAATTTATTCTTCTCATTTCCCTCAAAATAATTAAGCTTGCAAAGAGTAGATTTATTTTTACCTCAGTACCACTTTATCAATCGTCCCTTCTAATTATAGCCTGTTTTCCCTGAATATCTGAGGACCAGATTACTGTTTAGTGCCTCTGTAATTGACTGAAGAAAACACTTCAGGTTTCTGGACCATCATTTCCACCAGGTTTCCTGGTAAAAATTATTACTCTCTTTCCTCATTCAGTGAAACACTGAAATCAATAATCACTACACATGTTCCCAGATGTCACGAGAATCTCATCCTAGGATAGAAAGGAAAGATGGATTGGACTCCACTGTAGCCTTGGTTTGAATCTCTTTCTGCGGCTCTCGATGACACCATTTTTTATTAGTTGTCACTCACGTTGGTAGACCCCGAAAACCTTTTGCGCTCATCTGCAAAGGCATCTCCTATGGGCTGCAGCAACTACAATGATTTCCATCAGTTCTCATTAGGTGCTTCCACTTAGAGAAGCTTCTGGAAACAATGACTCCTAGCAGTTAGTCTTCTTTCTCCCTACTCTTCCTCCCCCGCCTCCTCCTTCCTTTTCTTTTCCCTTTAACCTTTCCCTCAGGCCCTAAGTCCTCCTTGTCCTCCTCTTCCTTGTCTGTTCTTTTTTCTTTCTCTTCTTCAGTTTTTTTAAGCCATCATATCCTTACAGCACATCATAACCCAAATATCATACCAGGCCCTTCATATATTTATCTTAGTTTAATCTGCTTACAACCTTTTGAGGCAGGAATTATTATGTTCATTTTGGAGTAGAGAAAATGAAATCTCAGAAATATTCCCCTGGAGTTTGGAGCCTAGTTTACCTCTAAAACTCATACTCTGACTCCTGGAAACAGTGTTGGCAATTCCTCGTATTGTAGCTTTCCAGTCATGGCACATAATAGCCTTTCTCATGAGGTTTTTCGATGGTTCCTGCTGGAAAAGCTAAAATATCTGTCTGGCCTCTCAGTCATTTAGAGAGCATGGAGTTGTCCTGGACAGCCACTCAGCGCAGGCTCCCACCTGAGCTGCTGTTGTTCATGAAATGGTGAGAGGTTCTTTCAAGGGCACTTTGTCAATTTAGGCACAGGGTCACCCTTGAGTGTTTTCTTTTCCTCCCATTATACAGGTGCAAATAGATGGATGAAGGAATACCTATATATAGTATTAGTCAGGGTTCTCCAAAGAAACAGAACCAATAGGATGTATATAGAGAGATACATAAGAGGAGATTATTATATAGGAATATGTATATATATAGTTATATATAAAATATATGTATAAAAATTCCTATTATTATAAGAATTGGCTCACATGGTTATGGAGGCTGAGAAGTCCCACAGTCTGCCATCTGCAAGCTGGAGACCCAGAAAAACACTAGTGTAATTCAGTCTGAGGCCTGAGAACCAGGGAGCCACTGGTGTAAGTCCCTTAGTCCAAAGGCCTGAGAACCAGGAGCCCCCCTGTCAGAAGGCAGGAAAAGATGGATGTCCCAATTCAAGGAGAGAGAGAGAATTCACCCTTCCTTTGTCTTTTTGTTCTATTCAGGCCCCTAACGGACTGGATGATGCTCAGCCACATTGGTAAGGACAATTATCTTTACTCAGTCTACTGACTCAAATGTTAATCTCTTCTAGGAACACCCTCACAAACACACCCAGAAATCTGGACATCCTTAGGCTCAGTCAAGTTGACACATAAAATAAACCATCATATATATGTGATATAGATATCATATATATATATGATATATATTTAAGATTATATATATAGGAGATATATGATTATATATATATGATTTCATGTTTATGGATATATATAATGGATATGTATATATATAAAATGGGTATTTATATATATTATGGATATATATACACTATGGGTGTATATATATATATTATGGGTATATATATATATATATATATATAATGGATATATATATTTAATCTGGCAGCTGTTAACTACTAGGTACATGGGCACTTTGGACAGACATTTACACTTAGCTTTTTATATGTAAAAACACAGTTAAAATAACTACCTTATAGGAAAATTGAACTGTTTCATAAAATAGCTTATTGAAAGTGCTTAGTGATACCTGGCACACACTAAGTAATCAGTAGCTGGTAATAATCTCTCCTTCCCTTCCTTTCTTCTTTACATCAAATACATTATTTATTTGTGTCTCATTGTCCCAAGTTCTGAATGCTGGAATTATCTTGATTCCACAGATGCTTTGACGATATCGGAATCTACCCCCTACCAGCATGCATTTTTCATCCATTTATTCTTTTTGGCAAATTATATTCCATGCATGCTTTTTGTGCTGCTTTTTCTACATACTTCGCTGGTATTCACATCTTCTGACGCTTGCAATGCCCTAGGAAGGGTCATCTGTTGGAATTGCACTAATGTTATCCCAGTGCTTTAAATCATATAGCTGTGCTCCTCTGAAGCTTCATCTAATATCTTTTTTGAAATTCATTTTGGAACCAGAGTTAGAAACTCATGCAAGCATGCTTATGTTTTTAAAAAATCGATAACATTTTGGAAAATTCTTCACTTTTACCACATAGATGAGTTGAATAACTAAAGTTTGGTCATTCCTTTAATTTTTAGAAAATAATTATGGTTCATCAGCTATGCTTCCTAGAGGAATCATTGAACCAAGAATATGCTCTACATAATAAATTACAATCTATTTAATAACTGAAAATTAAGAAGAGTTCTCTCAAAGGAATGTAAATAAACAGACTCTGAAAAAATCTTTCTTTAACACAAAATGAGCCCTTCTCAAAAGATACATGGTAAAGGAACACTTTCAACTATATTTAGAATAAAAACTTGCTAAAATATTCCAAAGGTGTATCTTTTAGAAATCTATATCTCCATATGCCATGACAAAGATCAATATTTATTTATGTGTTTACAATAAAAGCAGTGTTTGTCTTTCTCCTCGGAAGCCTGCAGAAATGAAATATTTTATAACTCCTTTAAACTTTATAACTTTAAAATTTCATTGAAGCAAGCAGAAGAATAGTGTAGAGATGTGGTCTCTTTGTGAAGAAATTTTAATCCTTAACTAATAATTTCTACAAATCCATTGTGGAAGCGTCTTTTGAGGATTAATGAGAAAATATTTTAAAGCGTTTTCTCATTAATTCTCAATATCTTGGATAACAGGCATTAGATAAAATGAGAAGGATTATATTACTGTTATTCACAACAAGAAAGCTAGAGTATCAAGTAATTCATTAACTAAATTTTATAGGATGAAATATATAAATTACTAAGAGTTGGATTATGAGACTAAATGGCACCTAGTCCACAAAATGATGTCTCATGCTGTATTGCAGACTGTGAATTAGATCTTTTTACAGCTTCGTAATGAACCATATTGGCAATATTTGGTGGCAGATATATCTCCTATTATTTTATATGGTCAACGTTGTTTTCTATGTCAAGCTTTTATTCTTAACATGATCACTGGAATAAACAGGATCCAATCCAACCTAAAGCTGGTTATTTATAGTTGTGCCTAAATTAGTTGAGAATCATTAAATCAAACTTAAAAGTTGTTTAATAGAACACAAATCACTTTGTGCTTAGTATACGGGGAGCACTGAGATGAGGAATTCACCTTCTGTACCTTCACAATCAACTCAGAAAATCAAGCCTGGCAAAATATCTTGAACAAAAGAACAATTAAAGATACAATAAAAGAAAGAGGATAAATGCTTTTGAATATAGGTGGGATGTAGTGAGATTAATTCTGTCTAAGATGCGCCTTGAGAAGGCTTTTTGGAGAAAACATTTGAACAAGATTCTTCAGCACAGAAGACACTTCCATAAGAAGATGTGGGACTAGAGTATCCGTCCTTGGAACAGGTGAAAGCGGAGAGGTGGGAAAGTACAACTTGGGGAACTGAATTAGTACAAGAATGGGGAAAGTGGTCCAACTAATGATTAAATGTCCACGTTTGCTTGGATTGTGGGTAAGGGACAGCAGGTAAAAGGTCAGCTATCACCTCAACAAGAGCTGATAAGGAAGTGACTGGGAAGATTTATGTGCTGTGTGATGGAGAGAGGAAGGTAAAGGAGGTTATACAGCAGTGTGAATGGGGCTATGATGGAAGTAAGCATAAGGTACCACAGAAACGCTCCAGAGGAGCACCTCTCCTGGAAGGGGATGAAAGGAGCAGTTCAGAGTGAAATGGACCATATCAGACAAAAGAATCGAGTTCAAAGACTTCAAAGATGAGGCAGCAGAATTCAGCCACTAAATGAGTGAAGGGAGAGTAGAAAAGAGAAGAGTTAAAGATGAATCTGAAGTTCCTGATCTGAAAGAGGAGAGCCTTATGACATGAGCAGAATTAGAAAACATAGAAGGAATAACTTTGAGTAGAAGATGGCGGACTCAGCTGTGGACATGCTGGGTTTGAAACAATTGAGGAAACCTATCTGGAAGTCCCCAAAGCTCAGTAGGAATTGATGGTGTAGAGTTCACAGGGGATGTCAGGTATGGAGGCATCCATGAGGGAATCATCAACATAGAGAAAAGGGTGAAACTATGGTATCCAGGAGAAGCCTAAGAGTAAAGTAAGTTGTCAAAGAGGAAGAAGCGCTCGTGAAAGCAATTAAGAAGGCGCTATGTTACACCAGGCATGTCCTTATCAAGTGACATTGTGGAAAACTACCAGAAAGCCTCGTGTTTGTTTGCATGTACCTAAGCATATCTGACAACATTAAGAGAAAGTATTTTCTTCTCTATTTTTCTGTTAATTGAGTATATTTAGAACTGGCTCCAGAGTTTTATTCATCTTCTAAAAAACTGACGATTGTAATGTTGATTCACGGTTTCTCTTCTAGTGCTGATTTTTTCCCCTAAAGTTAAAACTAGTAGAACAATTAGCAGTTCCGATCTTCCATCTCGAGACATTTTAGGAAAAACAGTAGCTCATTAAAGAGTTGTTTTATTCAAAAGAAACAGGATAATAAGGCGAAGCAATTTTGTAACTATCTTCAACTCATTTCCTTTAGATGCAAGGTAATAACCGTCTCTTCACACAACCCTAGTTCTTTGAATTTTTAAAAAAATAAATGCTTGAAATCAAACACGAGATGAAGGAAACCTCCAGCAAACACTCTCAAAGGCCTATTAGCACTTAACCTCTTAATATTTTTGATGAAAAGAGTTTACATGTGCATTTGTTACAATAATGATTCCATGAAGCCCTTGGGGGCCCTTGTATTACAGTGGGGCTACAGATTTTCAAAATACAGTTTTTATAGTAACCCCAATCAGGAAACAAAATTACTCATGCTTCACTGTATTTTAAACATAGCACTACTTCACCTCTAATGTAATCGAATTTTGAGATGTTAAATACAATTATAAACTTTAAGTCTATATTATTGAATGTACCAGTTATATCCTGTAAGCATCCACGAGAAGGGAATATTTGCCTTTTATTTGTCAACAGAAAAAAAAAAAAAGAAAAACGCATTATTAGAAAAATCTTTACCAAGTCATTTCATGTTACTTTCAAATCAGAATGATTTTATTTCTCTGCCAAGGAAATGTAGCCAACTTCAGCTGTGCATTAAGAATAATGGTCTGGCAAGATAGCAAATTCCAATTTCCTATGATCAGAGAATCTTATTACCTTTATCCTCTCCCTTCCTTCCTGTTCACATAGAAAGTTAAAAGATGTTTTTCAGTTTGAATTTGCTTAGCTCTACATTCTCCTAAGTGGAAGGTGATGTTCTGGGGACCGGCTGAGCACTAACTGCATCGAAGAAATGCAATTCCAAGCCCAAGTTTATTTCTGGTTGCTGTTGAATTTCCCCATTTGTTGTTAAATGTGCAGACTGCAAAGTAGCATATTGTTCGTGACAACTTTGCACAATGGTGGAATCTGCAGATGGTGTGTCTTTTCAAATATGATAAATGCCTCACTTAATGCTGATTTGTGGCAATCAGGACAATGCTGCAGGCACTTCTGGCTCAAGGGATGTCTTGATCGTAGATCCAGGGGCAGTGGATGGGCTCAGACCCATGCATGAGCTTGTGGCATAATGCAGCATATGCCACCCACTGTGACTCTTAAAACACTCAAGCTGGAAGAGACTGTCATTCTTAAATATGAGCAGATGGAGGTCCAGAAAGGTTAGGTGATAAGGTTAAGGCCTTTTGGGCTGGTAGTGCCCCAGGGTGGGGGCTGCTGGACAATACCAACGCGATTTGTTTTGAGAAGCACCCAGGTAGACGACAATCTCAAGACTAAATTTCTGTAGAAAAGTGTAAGCCTGATTTGTCTTTATAACCCAGCACAGATTCTGACATACTGTAAATATCAATGTGTTTGCAGAATGGAAATGGATTAAAATGATTTAAAGTGCTCTGAACCATCTGTACCTTTTGTTAATATTCTCGCCTTTATGATGGCTTTGTCTTATTTTTCCTCTAATTAACGTCCAATCTATGTGCCCTGTCTGAATGCCAGATACTTTCCTACTGGTTCTTAAATGCTATTGAGTGTATATATATTTGTGCTTATTAAGGGGATTAAGTTAATTGGATTAAAAGTGGTATTTTATTTTCCTAAGGATTCATCCACAAGGCAAAGTTGATAAAAGAAAGTGAGCTCCAGAATCTGGAGATCCTGGGTTTTCAAAGGAAGAATCAAGGATCAGAGAGGCTGAGTGGCTTGCTCTGGACCACACAGCAGATGAGTGTTCTGTTCTACATGAGGGTTAGATTCATCTAACATGTGTGTCTGGAACTCTGTTGGAAATGTTTACACACAAAAATCTTGTTTAACAATTACTAGCTTTCTCATATTATAGACTAGGAAACAAATGTCGAGAGAGATTAAGGCATAAGTAGAAAGTTGCCTGGTTAACAGGAGGTGAAATTGGAATATAAATCAAGATCACTTGATTTCCTGTGTCTTTCTCTTTCTACTCAACCATGATTCCTTTGACTAGAGTGGACATAAATCCTCTTACATGAGTTGGAATCATCTTTCGTTACAAAGGACTATAGATATTTACTAGCTTTGGTAGTCAAGTGCTTCCCAGTATGGTGTTAAAAATACCATGTAATTTTTAATCTAGGAAAAAAACCCACTCCATTCCTCCATGGGTGGCACACTTTCCTTTTCCTTTGGACTACTAGCCATTCCTTCAGTTCTTCCATTCATTCACTGAGTTCCCATGATAAGCCACAGACACCGTGCTAGGTGATGGGAATTCAAAAATAAATCAAACTTAGTTCTTAGTGTCCTGGGATTCATCAAACAGAAAAGAGAACAGATGGTTGGGGTAAGGGTGTTTAGGGGAAAGCCTTTAGAGAGAAGAATAGAGATAAATTAAGCAAACAAACAACAGTAACGATAAATAATAAAATAAGAAAAAGCCTTTAACAGGCATTTTTAGGTAATTTTTAGGTAATAGGAAGAGATGAGACATTTATGTGGTTTTACTAACTGGAAAAGCACAAAATTATCTTACACATGATAAAGCCTTGGAAGATGTTTTGTAAAATATATGCAAAAGGGTAGGTTGACTATCATACAAACTTGGCATGAGTTTCTCTTTCTTGGTTTCACTTCTGTCCTCCACACTCAATTCCATGGTTCCCTGATGACTATCATATTATTCCTAGGTATCTTTTTTCTGCTTTTAAAAAAGCCTGGCCCAGCTTAATGTATTTCCCAACATTCACCAACATCACAACTTTCATTTGCTATTTCCTTCTTTTTCATGCCCCTTCTCCTGTGTCATTGAGGAAATGCTTTAGTGACAGAAAAATTTCATGATTGAGGAGGATGTTGAAAGAAAAGAGGTTTGGTGGGTAAGAATTGTTCATGATGTCTCCCTCCCAATTCTGTGCTTTCACAATGACACTTTAATTTATGGTTTGGTTCCTGGGAGGAGAAGCCCATGATGGGGAAGTCTCCGAAAAAATAATAGGTCTCTATCATCTCATCCATAAGCTCTCTTCATAAATTAATGCCTAGGACACTTGTTGGCCTAGCACAGGAGTCAATTTTCTCCAGTTCTCCCTATCACGTACTCAAGTTGTTGGCATATCTGAAATGTACACTGACCATCAAGGTCTTGCTCAATCCTCATAGGCCCAGGTCAAACTCCACTTCCTCTAGGAAAGCTTGTTCTCATGGCCTGATCTGAATCAACTGACCTTTCACTTGTATCCACAGAACACGACAATGATGTATAATTCGTATTTATAATGATATTTTGCAAATTGAAATGGACCTTAAAGTTTCCTTTAAGATATAGAAGTTATTGTTCTTATCTGTTTCCCTCAATATATTCATCACATATTTAATAAGTACCTACTGTGTGCCAAGTGTTATTCTTAGCTCTAAAGCTAGAGTGTTCAATAATACAGACCAGAGTCCCACTATGCATAACGTAAGAAAAATTAAAAAAACATAAACGTGATAATACATCACAATGTGTTATGAGCAATGAGCAAAGTAAGCAGAGAGATAGAATGCATTTGGTGATGGTGGGGAGGTAAGAGTGTGATGCATTAAAGGTGGCCACAAATTCTTTGCCTCTCTTCCCCTTAGACCGTAGCTCGGCCTGTGATTTGCTTTGACCAGTAGAATGTTGTGGATGACTCCATGTAACTTCTGTGGCTGAGCCGTAAGAGATCTGTAGCTTCCTCTTTCATGCAGTGGATCACTCCCTCTCGGATCCAACCCTTGGACTGTGAGAAGCTCAAGCTACATAGAATGGTCACAGTGAGGAGGACTGAGGCAATTTGGTTGGTGAGCTCCCACGGACAGCCCGTACCAACAGCGATGTGAATAAGCCATCTTGGAGGTTCCAGCCCACTGGAGCTGTCAGATGACTATAGTCCCAACAGTACCACATGAAGCAGAACCACCCAGCTGAGCTCAGCAAACCCATAGAATCAGGGGAGAGAATACCTGATGCTTGTTTTTGTTTTGTTTTTAAGTCGCTGAGTAGTGCCGTGGTTCGATATGCAGTCATAACTGAAAAAGGTAATTGGGGAAGCATATGTAAAGAGCTTGTGAAGGGGAAGAGCTTGCTATGTTAACAGAATAAAAATGAGGCTCCTTGAGGACAGAGAATTATCTTACATGCACATTCCCTGGCCAGTTATAGGGTACTAGATAGATGTGCATGAGTCATTGAATGAACCAATTTATTTCCATTCCTCCGCCCATGAGATTCTTATTCATCCTTTAAGGCTTAACTAAAATTTGGTCTCTCCCTGCACTATTCTCTATTTACTGCAATTTATATACACCTGTATTTCTCTAATCTATTTTTATACAAATAATCAATGGCACAAGTTGCTACATTTTTTTATGTCTAATTCCTTTGTGTGTGTTATTGTTTCTTTCCAACCAGCAGCCATGGACCTTGAAGCTAGAAGCCTGTCCTCATCCTCAGTCATTATTTCCTTTTGGCTCTAATATGGTACTAGGCTCATTAAATCACTGCTTGTCTGTTGCTAATACCCAAGAGACTCAATTCAACACTAATTCAACAATGCTATGCCCACATGGAAGCAATATTCAATATATTTGGGAGGTAGCTGGATCCATTTAATGGTTTTCAAATATTGAGGAGCTTGGGAAAATGTGTTTGTGTATTTTAGGTGTGGTTCCAGTTACCTAACTTTTGGCAACCATTTAAATTTATTGCGTAAACTTCTTAGGTTCCATGAAAGAGTATAAGAACCCTTAATAAGTGAAACAGAAGCCCTGTGAGTCAAATAAAAATAATAGCTTCAGATTGGACCTTCAGTAAGGAAATAATTGTCAAGTAAATAAACTTGCAAGGGTTCTACTTCATTACGTTACTCAGCGATGCATCGGCTAATGGTTGTTTCAAGAAAGAAAGTGGTAACTAACAGACAGGGGTTCTTGATACTGGCCTCCAAGGTACCTGACTTGTCACAAAGGCAAGCGGGGCACATTTTCCTTTAAGTGGAGAAAATGAAAATAAAACATGAAAGCTCCCTCGAATATCTAACGTAGATCTTGTGTAGATACACACAAGACACTCAGGATGGTATTAGTATAAGTAGGTATCAGGTTATAAAGAAAATCAGGATATAATCTTGTGAGATACTGAATGGAACCAGAAAGGTTGTTTCACAATAATTTAAACATTTTTTAAAGTTTGTGTATTTCTTCTCAAAGCACACTTTTTCCCCTCTTCGTTACAAGAAAATTAGAACGGACACCTTTCAAAGGCTCTCAAGGTAGGATAGCTGTATTCTGCAGTGAATACCAGAGAAACCACAGAATAATTACAAAGAAAATACCTAAGCCAAAGCCAATCAAAACAGCCCCTACAGGCTTCAGCAGGCTTCCTTCAGGCCTGATTCTTCCTAAAAGGAGAAATGCTTTATGCAATCTATTGATAAGATATGAGACAGACAAAAATCCTATTGACTCCCACATGCTGCTCGTTTTTAGACGGAGAAGCACATTGTCTACTATCAAATAGGAATTTTTCTTTGTAATATGCTTCAATTATCTGTCCAGATCACTGCTCTGTAAGCTGCTATAAATAAAACACATTATTTATAATGAAAGTTGGAAGAGCAGACAGATGAATGAGTTTTCAAACATGCAGCTTTCCAGCAACGCCAGAGTCCAACACATAATGTCATCTAAACATATGAGTCTGTCCATTAGAAGCCCTTTCTTTCCAGGATGCCTTTTAAAACAAATCTCATTTTACTATCCTATTGTAAAATGTTTTTGAGTTAAGCAGGGTCTACTTATATCACTTAGCATTTCTCGCAGTATAGTAGAGAGCTAGAACAGCTTAGCTGTATTTTCTTTTAATATGAGAAGCTAATTTTGATCTCTCTCCTCCCACTCAAACTTTTAGTATTACAGCCAGAGAAGCAGAGGGGAGATTGACGACAGAGTCAGGGAGAGAGTTACCCACTGGCCACTCTGATCTCTCAGTCTGTCATTTGATGACATAATAGGTAAGAAAACATGAAAGCAGGGGTCAATTTTTCTAACCTACCAGATTAAGTTTGCTCCCTCCTGAGCCAACCATTATGGACATCTGAGCCATGTGGCATTAGTGGTAATGACTGTAAACACAGTGTATAGAAAGTCAGATACTGTGCAAGTTATGAGATAAAAGATAACAAAGCCTATTTGAAAGATAAATGTGTGTATCCAGTGTGTGTATCCAGTAGTTGAAACAGTTAGTTAGGGGAAGGAAAGTAGTAATTATTCCCATCTTAAATTAAGCAACTTGGTTGGTTAACACTGACGCTAAACCACGTGCTTTTAACCACTACCCACTGCTACATCCGTAAAGTTATGATTATAGATTTCTGGAGTTATCCAGAAAAAGCCACCAGTCATAGGAAGACCCTGGTTCACTTGCTATCAATATTCCTCAAAACTGTTCCTTAAAAGATGGTAATCTTGACTGAAGAGTTTCATTATCATTCACGTTATTGAAAAAGTCTCCATATTCTGGGTTACATTGACTGAGTGCAAATGAGCTGCACTTTGACCATGGATTTCCTTTCAAGGAACCCCCTTTGTATGTCAGAAATGCGTTCCAGGGAAATGGGCATTGCATAGTTTAAACAGAGACTTTTTGTTCTAAGCTTTTGCTAGATGGATTCCAACCAAACACAGTCACATTACATGTTCTTTTCCCGAATCACAAACTTGACCAAGCTATATATACCCTAGAGTGAGACTTAGATGGATGGGATTATATTTTTTCTTACATAAGAAAAATAAATCTCTTTCTAGAAATCTATGAAAAATTTTATGATATAGAATGGAGGTGGTAGCAGGAGGTGGGGGGAGAGAGAGAATTTAGTCTTGGATTAAATGCAATACTTATTTTCCACTTAGAATTTTATTTTATTTATTTATTTGTTTTGAGGAAGATTAGCCCTGAGCTAACTACTTCCAATCCTCCTCTTTTTGCTGAGGAAGACTGGCCCTGAGCTAACATCCATGCCCATCTTCCTCTACTTTATACATGGGACGCCTACCACAGCATGGCTTTTGCCAAGCTGTGCCATGTCCGCACCCACGATTCGAACTAGGGAACCCCGGGCCGCCGAAGCAGAACGTGCGTGCTTAACGCTATGCCACTGGGCTGGCCCCTCCATTTAGAATTTTAATGAATAAACACTTTGTCTTATGAAACCTACTTCAAAAAAGATATTCACGAAAGATAGGGCAAAGGACAAATATTGCCAGAATTTCTACCTTGACATTGATGAATACTCTAACTGATGTACTGACGGTGGCCTGCTGTGAATGCCCTGTCATTGTCAGCAACCTCTCTTTGAGAGGGAGATCACTGTGCTGTCTCATATTAAGCAATAAAATTAGGAGGTGAATGAACTGCTATAACCCATCAAGAGCATTCAAAGCTGTCACCAGTTTGAACACCACCAATTATCTAAATTTATAACTGATATAAACAGAAAACCCTGAATTAAACCTTTAAATTGCTGCCTCTCCACCATTTGGTCTTCTTTATCTTTCCCATTAGAACCATTGTTAGTCTAACAGTCTTAACTAATTCAGAGGAAACGTCAGTAGATCAATGTATGAATCCCCCATGGGCTATTTGATGTTAAAACGTTCCTCTTATGAAACAGTCTTCCTATAGATTTAGAATGTGTTATTGCTACAGTTTTGGACTGACCTGCAAAATGCTCAGTAAACAATACAGTTGCTTCCCTAATGACACACGGGTCAAATGTATCCCAGACACAATTTTTTTTTCAAACTTTAATTACAACATGAGATTAATTGAACAGAACTTGAATTCAAATAGGAAATGCTTGCAAGTTCCAAGGAGCCATAATTAATATGAATGCATTTTGCTTTTACACAGAGACAAAAATATAAGGTCCATTCTCTCTTTGCCTCACCTGCTTCACCTCTTTCTCAGGTTGACTTTGTTCTGTGTCTTTGCACGTCTTTGTGATGGAAACCAATACTGGAACAGTTTGGGGGATATAGAATAAGGCTGATACTCCAGTATGTTCATTGTATAGGTTGACAGTGGAAGTCCAATCAACCCACTTCAATCAGGAAGAGAAGCATGCCGACGTCGTTTGTAAAGATGGAGGAATGGCGCAGGCAATTGTTTTCTATTGAATGTGAACTATGTACAAGACACTGTAGGGAGCTACAACTTAGTACTAAAAATATATCCTTTTTTTGTGTACAACAACTTCAAGGGTGAATTCAAAAGCCCTAAAACATTGACTCTTTTTGCTTTCCCTCTCCTACTGACAATGGATCCTTTCAACCATTTTCCTGGCTTATCACGCCTTTTCTTATCACCAGGTTCACAGAAGTCTAGGCAAGGTTGACAGTCAAATATAGGAGTGTATGCAAAAACATAAATCTATGTGCACGTATACTCAGAGAAAAAGAGCTGTGAGTTATGACATAAATAATCACCAAGCCTATTTCAAAGATAAGCATGTGTACCTGAACATAGGTGTAGCTGGAGCAGTTAGTTAGGGAAAGAAAAACATCAAATGAAAGTTAAAGAGAGGTACTTTATTAGGTTTATGTCAGGGGATGATTAAGGCAGAGCTCATTAAAATTCCTTTAGTCTTCTCATTTTTTTCACCATAGGCATGTGAACTTATGCTAATTGTATGGTGGTTTTATAAATATTGAGCAAGATTTTCTAGCTAAATAGTTGAAAGTACTTTGATTCTAAATTGGACGACTTTGAAGGTTACATTCACTCTTTCATGACACTCAAAGAGCCGGAGGATGGTGAGTTTCCAGACCACGGAGCCATTACTTCCACTACACATCCACTTGGTGGCTTCCCAAAAAGCTTCCGGCATTTTTCAATTTACTTCCCAAGAAGTGAATTTTACAAATTTACTCCTTGGGAAGAGTTTGGGTATTTGGAAGTTCTAATTCAGTAATCGAGGTCATTCATAGAAACTATGATTCCCACATTCCACTTCATTTTTAGTTATCTAGAACAGACACTGAGCTTTCCTGAGGGTCCTTGTTCAAGTCTTCATTTTTATTAAGTGATCCCCTGGGGACTTTATACATTAGTAGACAAGATATACAATACTCAAATTAGCATAGCACTTTGTATTATACCAGGGCTATCAGTTAGGACTGTGCCAGCTACCAGTAACAAAATATATAACCAACAGTGACTTAAACACATTTGGAGTAATTTTTCTCATATAACAGGAAAATTAGAGGGAAGGGATTGCTCGAATGGACTCAACCATTCAATGATGCCAGCCTGGACACAAGTTCTTATCATCATTTCCCTCTTACTTCCTCAGCATGTTGACATTTTCCCTTATACTTGTTACCTCATGTGTTACAAGATAGCATCAGCAGCTCCAGACATCACATCCATCTCCATGGCAGGAGGAGGGGGAAGCAGAAGAAATCCCCAGTGAATGTCTGTTTATATCTCATTGTCCAGAACTGTACAATATGGTCAATGCAAAGAAGACTGGGAAAATGAGTATCTCCCTAGGGCTAGGTAGAGTGCTTTCTTGAATAAAATTAGAGTTCTGCCTGCAGGAAGAAGTGGAGAATGGGGTTCAGTTGGCAACTAGGAGTGTGGGATGAGCTATGGTAAAACCCAAATCCTCAAATACTAGAAGTGAGGTGCCTCAAAGGATTAGGGGCACATGGATGGGGAGACATCCCTCCTTGTCTCCATTGCATAGTTCCTCCCTTCTTAAAGTTTTATTACTGACTAGTCCTACATTTCTGAGAAACTATGGACCAAAAGCTAAGAAATATCAGAAATATTCCTAAATCCACTAACGGAACTATTCAATAATTGACAACTGATGCACAGCACTGAAGAGCCTGGAGTTTTTTCCATGTGCTTGTGAGCACAATGAAGCAGGTCTCTAAGGCTGGAAATCGGTGCTCACCCAAGACATCCACCATCTGGTCACCACAGTGGTGGCGTGTTAGATTAAAGAAGTTTATTTTCCAATATGCTTTGAAGAACAGGTGGTTGTCTTGACCTTCCATCATAGTGAGGTTTCCCTTTTTATAAATGGAAACTCAAATTATCCTATCCTATTTTTTGTAACTCTCTCATAAAGGCTTCACAAAACTGCTCCAAATCTATTAAAGTTGCTGCTTCTCAAAATAGCTATGAGGAGTTGACTTCTCAAGGACAGAAAGCTTTGCAGGGACCTCTTAGAATAAGACAATGGGACTTCTAAAATCTCATTTGAATCAAAAGTAGACGAATTCTTTAAAAATATACTAGAATTTTTTCGCTACAGAATACAAAATAAACTTTAGATAATGATTGAAGTGAATAAATATAGGCGGACAAGGTAATAAAAAATGGAATTGTTATGATACAAGGATAGTGAACTTTTGTCTTTCTTTCTTTCTTTTTTTTTTTTGAGGAAGATTAGCCCTGAGCTAACATCTGCTGCCAATCCTCCTCTTTTTGCTGAGGAGGACTGGCCCTGAGCTAACATCCATGCCCATTTTCCTCTACTTTATATGTGGGGTGCCTACCACAGCATGGCTTGCCAAGGGGTGCCACGTGTGCACCCGGGATCCAAACCGGGAAACCCTTGGCCGCCAAAATAGAATGTATGCACCTAACCACTGCACCACCGGGCTGGCCCCTGAAACATTTTTCTTTAAGGATGTGTTTATATGCATTTTCAACTTACAGAAGGTATGAGATATTTACTCTCTTTTTTTCATTAAAAATTTTCTCTTAAAGGATAAGGGAAACCTTTATTTCTAAATCAAAAGTGAGTACTTACTCCTACTGTGCACTCCAATTAGGATAAATCCAGAATTATAAACAGTCTGTATCTTCCCATAGAATTTTTCTGATTCCTGAAAACTTTGCTTTTCCTTTTTCTTCCACTGTTTTTCCTCCTCCTCCTCCTCCTCATCTTCTTTTTTCTTCTATTCTAGTAAATGTCCTGCTACATAATAGGCATTTCACAGTGGGCTATCAAATGATATCGCACTCTATAAATCTTTTACTCATTCAGCAAATATTGTGTAACATACATGATCTAAACTACTACTAAATAAAGAAAATCATCCCCTATTGTAGAAACCTTCTTCTCTAATATTCTATGGCTTATACGATCTCCCCTTGCCCAATTTAAAACAGTTTGTTTCATCAAAGAGCAAATAAAAGAAATGAGTTAAAGACTGATTTACATTATGCTTTGATGTCTTGTTTTTAGGTAATTTCTAAATTCACTTGAGTAGAATTAACACCAAAGAAGGAAGATAAAACTTCAATATAAGTCCATAAGACATGTAAGTCATAATTGTCAAAATCAATATTATATATTTTGAATAACTCTGTCCATTTTAGAGTTTTTCTTTTTGAAACACTAACACAAATCCTACATCATCTGTGAAA